TGGCCGTAGGTACAGGGCTATATTGACCCTGACGCAAGCTTACCAAGTTTGCCAAAAGCGTCCCTTCCGCCGCGGCGGTCGCTTCTATTAATTCCATTCGCGGCGCCGAGTTCGTAGCCGACTTTGGCCCGTCGCTACGCGTCGGCCGCGTTCCGCGAATTTAACGGTTAATTTATCGATAGCATTGATCGCATCTGCTCGAGAACTCACCCGCAGACCGGAAAAACGTTTCATTAGAACACGCTACTAGCGTTCCTATGAAACGACCGGTGCAACGGATGAACAGACCGTGCCTGTTAACGCTAGATAACATCTCTTTTGGTCTGGACATTACAAAGCAACGATGGTACCGTAAATACGATTTTTGGTTCTTCGTTTGTTCTTGTTTCTTCCTTTTTTTCTTTCCTTTCTGTTTGCCCGTAGCTTCCTGTCTCACTGTTTTTAACTGTCTGCTTCGAAATTAACTAATTTCCATGCGAAACAACCCCACGGGTAGCTAACGTGTCGTTTGTGCCAGGAATCGTTGTTGCAAAAGTTCTCGCTATTCGGAAGATTTATTTGTTACAAATATCGTTTCCCAACGTTTTATCGCGTTGTACGTTTATGATTTACCAACGCTCGTGGCAATATATTTCTTTTTCTGGTAATATCTGTGTGGATATAAGCTAGGGAATGTATTTTATCTTTCTATCTATGCAGTCTTCCTGTGGGATGAATATGAGTTACGCGGCATATTAATTGTACAGTGGTTAACAGTCGCCTTGAAAAGTAAGTTGAGGTTTTCTGCGAGGAGAATAGATTTAGAAAAATTGACAAACGTTGGTTTATTTTAGATAGAATACATATCTACATAAAAAGGTAAAAGCAAGATTCTTCGCATAAGACTGCCAAATTTCTGAATTAATTTCCAGCGCAAGAGTTAATTAAAAATCGAACAGAACTTGCCGCTAGACCTAATATTTCCCTATGCGAGTATTACACGTCGCATACTGATCAGTTACTCTAAAAAGTGGGACAAATGTCAATATTACCTGAAAACTTGCTTTTTTGATAAATCATAAAATAAAATGTCAATACTAACAACTGGGAATTTCACATCGTTCTTTTCCATTAATTATAACTTCTTAAATAATTTGGAACACATTTATTCTAACGGATGAGAGAAATGACTTTTAAGATTCGAGTAATCTGTAAATACTTCCATTTCTTCGGTCATAAATAAGATTAAATAAAAAAAAGAAATCGATCAGGTATATGTATTGGACTATAATAAATCAAATTAAAGATTAAAACCTAAAAACTTTTTTAAAGCAATTTTTTTTCTTTTGTTGTCCCATTTTGTTCGAGAATCGACCATTGTGCGTCGAGTGCTCTATAATTCGCGAAATTTGCGACTTGCCTCCGATTTAAACAAACGATAAGCCGCTAGTGTTTGTCTCGCAATCACGCGGGGGTTCTATGTGCGGCATGGAAAAGAAGTTTGCAAATCGTCCCGTTTATCCGGAACTCGTAGAGCAGATTTGTTCACCTTCCCCATTCAAATCGTTCTCCTTTTGCCCGCGATACTGGTGCATACGCGATCGAGGGATAGCGAGATCATCCGCCGCTTGTTCTCTCGGCTATAAAACTTCTCTTTTTTTTACGCTCGGCATTTCCACGGTAAAACAGCGGGCCCCATTTTCTTTCCGACGTTCCTCCATCCCGACATTCAACTTTCGGAATTTCAAACAGCCGTCGCGGTCGTCTGGGAAATCGTCCGGAATTATCATCGCGCGATGAATATAATGGCGTCACCCTTACACCTTTTTCAAGTTAACCAAGGTGCCATTTCTTTGCGATTGAAGTCGTGTAATAAAATAAAATATGGATGGGTACTTTTAACCCTTTGCACTCGAGAGGTGATTATCAGACATTTGATTCGACACAGCAAAATTATGAAATTAAAAGTTTAGTATTGAATGTTGAATAAAGTATCAGCATATGAAACATGGAAATAAGACGGTTCGCTCACTGAATTTATACTTTTTATAATTTTATCATATTATCATTATATTTTATAATTCATAAAATGGTTTTTTGTGTAAGTTCTAAATAGTACTGTCAATATTTTCTCAGGAAATAATGAACGTCTGTAATGAAAAGTATTGTCGAGTGCAACGGGTTAAAAAGCTCTTAAATTTTTCTTGTCTTTCACTTTTTCCTTTCAATAATGAGCTGATTTTGAAGTGTGACACGATGGTAGTTTGAACAATCAACGTACAGGGTGTTATCAATGTATAGTATGACTGCATAAAAAATAATTTTATATGCAAAAAGAAATTTGATGTATATAGCGTAGATGAGAGTATGGCACTAAAAAAGTGTAGGACTTATGAAGATTGAATTAAAACTAGGAATAAATTTTTATATTTGATGCTTAGGTTTTAAAAAGTTAAGTGATATTAGAATTAGTAACGTATTTGTATAACACTGTACGCGAAATTTTCGAAGTTATTTTACATGAATTTGAAACTCTCGGTTTATCAGTGTAACGTATTAATTTCACATTTGGAGACTTAAGGGAATGAAATGTATAAATAATATTCAAAAATTCAAATTTGGGTGAATAATATGGTAAATATACACTAAAGACATGAAACTATTGTTCGATTATTCAAAAAGAATTTTTTCATGCATTGAATATCTAAGCATTTTAAATTTAGTACTATTTTTGGAAATATCGCAGGCATTAAAATAAATTTGTATTTGTGAAAATACCCGACTCAGATACATTTACTGATAGGTTAAGTATGCTTTTCCTGTAATCTTCTGGTATAATTAGAGCAATGGCTTTATCAAAGAAATGCCGTTTAAGATTAGTCTATCACTTCTCAATTATTTCAAACAATGACACATATGATGAATATTATCCCAGTACTTTAAAGATCGATTCAAAACGTTCAAAACACGAAAGTATATAATCTGCAGTATCACAAGAAAAATACGATAAACCGAGCATAAAGAGGTTACTGATCACGTTCAATATAAAATATCATATAAAATAACAATATAAAAGCATTAAATAATTTAGTAAATGTTTCGGTCGATTTTGATTGATGTAGGTACATAAATATGTACCCTAATTGTCTACTTTTAAACCTTTAATTACTAAAATCTAAATGAACGAAAAACAATTTCTTTAAAAGCGACAGAATAAATTGTACAGTAAACGTCCATAAATCTAGTGTTAAACGAAACAACGTTCGTATTTGAAAATCCGTTCAACGAAGATGTATCGCACTCCAAGAATTCCAAAAGACACGCAGCATCTCAATATATACCGAATACAAAATAATGCATTAAGTATGATTATGAGGCGAATTACGCGTGTGTTATGTTAATACACAATAACGCGTTAAATAATGTATAAATAAATAAAATACACCAACAATACCGAAAACTGCGGAATGAAAATTATGCGGTCACTTTCTCCGCAAACATCGTCTACAGATTTTATTGAGCCAATAAAACAGACACACGCGAGAATTTTTACCTACCTCACGGTTTCCTTTATCGCCGACGCCGATCGATCGTATCGCCCTCAGTTTTTCTCTGATTAGCACATCGGAGCTGTCCAAACATCGTTCTCAGAATTTGATCAAACAATGTTTAGTGCGCTCGTCGTCTATCCGGCGTATTGACGCTCGGCTCGTGTATTGCGCATCGCTGATTCAGAGGGATTCGAAAGAAGGCAAAGCGAAAACGTTTCCGCGTTTCATCCCTACCGCTGCGGTCTTCGTCGGTAAAATAACCGTTCATCTGCGCGGTCCGATATTTCGCTGTGGTTTTTAACCAGTTAGCTACTTTTGACGAGTATACTCGTCACAGTGAAATGGTAAGATTTTATGCTATGTTACCAAGGAATGGTAAGATTTTGTGTTATGGCGAGTATACTCGTCACGCGTAAAAAGTAGTGACAATTTGCTGTTTAAACTGCAATTTTAGTGAAAACTGAAATACATTTGTGAATTTCAAGATGTTTTGAATATTTGGAGATCCAGACGAAATAAAACAAACAAATATAAATAATTATTATGAAAAAACTGTATATAGTGTGAACAAAGTAGTTGTTCTATGTAGAATCAGGATATTGGTGTTCGACTTGTGAACCCTCGTTATGTATTGTGCCTAGCTTTATCCAATATCATTCCATAACAGGAGGTTAAGCTAACTAATCACTTTTCTAAGTAATCCAGTTTTCATGAATCTTTTCCTCTCATATGTAAACTATGTATCTTTAAGTGAAGTAAATAAATAAATGTTAGTAAAAAAATTAAAAATCAAACAGTCATTTCATTAAAACTTAATTCTCTATTATAATAGCCACACATACTCTGTGTTTGACGAGTATATTCGTCATTGCTACCTTTTCCGATATATTTTAGGTACATACTTCTCAAAAAGATCGCGACAGCTAATTGGTTAATACGTTGATCGCTACGAGAATTTAGAGCGCTTCATATAATATTACTTACCGTATCATAACAAAGGCAAATGGTGTTAGAATTAATTATTAATTCGTTAATTGTGGAATTTAATTTCAAAAATTTCTTATTGTGCGCGCAATAAAGTCAAATAATGAAGTGTATACTCGTCAAATGCAGGCCAAATGTACATATAATATATTTTAACGATAAACTAAAGCGAAACGAAGAAGAATTACATGTTTCTGTAAAATATAAATAATCCATCGTTGAAGAAGTTAATATTATTTCAAACTTTAAGATGACGTGTATAATCGTCAAACGCATTTAACTGGTTAATATCGTGTTATCATGCATCGACACGGACCTTGCAAAGCGAGACGCTTGTTCTCCAGCTCGAGCAACGGCATGGGCAATGATTGTAACTCGCGTTATTTGTGACCACGGTATTAAGTGGATTCGGAACCTGACGCCCGATAATGGGGCCTGTTGATTATCTCGATGCCTGACGTTGGTATAGTTGTCTAATCGTCGCGAAGCAACTCAGACGATCGCGGACGCGATTTCGAAGACGACGAGGCCACCGACGCCACGTCAAAGTTCCGTGTGCTCCCATCCGCCAATACTCTCTACGCGGCAACCAGCCATGCCAGATGCTAAAGAAAGAACGCCAAAGGTAAGCATTTAAACCGCAGTGCCCTGTTTATTCGGTTTGCCCTCGACTGGGGAACGGCGAGCGCAACGTGGACACGGGAAATTCGTTCGTCGGCAAACAATGGACTGTCAGGTGTCGGGCGTATGGACGCACGTCCACTGGGACGTTTGATACGCGTGATGCGAATATCGCGTGGACGGTTACACTTCCGGCCACGAAAAGTCTGCTATTTCGGGGACTGAACGAGAGCACTTGTATTTCTCGATAGAAAATTGTGTCCAGGCTACATATGTACATGTTCTTTGAGACTGTTTTCAAACGATGCGTGTGTGATGGATACCGAATATAAATCTGGGAGATTACTTTATGGCTAAGCTGAGGATTGTGCTGGTCTGATTGGTCAGTCTTTATCTCTTTTCATGTTAGTTTTGATACTATGATCTACTGGGAAGTTCTGTCTGATAATGTCATGTCAAGTTTTCAAAAATGAGTCATTCTACAGAAATTAGGTTATGGCAGCACCTTTCCTACTCTGCCGATAAAGGGTTACTGATATTTAATATGTTGAATGCTGCGCGATTTTAAGGTGCAGAGTATGTGAAATAAAAAAAGTACAATATTAAATTATTTAATTGAATTGCGTTATTATTATCACAGGTTTGTCTTGCTAAATGTTACCGCATTAGGTAGCGTTATTTACAATATAAGAATGTTTTCAAATAATCATCGTTTAATTGAGAGAATTACAGTAACTGAATTTCGTCGGGGGTCACAGGTGACCCCAATGGCATTCAATATGTTAAGAGCCTTTCTTGCTCTTGCTCAGTTCTTTACCTTTTTGTACATGTAACATCCGTAAACACCCTACACACGTCCTCGCGTTTAAGGCTCCCCATACACGTTGAAACTTACGGTGATGGGATCGCTTTAAGTGATAGGTTTAAGTCAAAAAATAAAAAGGGCTTAAACCTATCATTTTTTTTGCGATGGCTGCACTGTCGGATGTTTCAACATGTAGTTGGGCCTTAACACGTTAAGCGTCATGTAAGTCGCCAATGACCGATGCTTTTGAATTACTTGCAAACAATCGTAACGTGCAAGGTAACCGATGTCGAATGAGAATATTTAGTAACGTAACTATATATGTTGATAATAATGTAATGCAAGGATTGTAACACCAAATGGTGAATAATTGTTCCTTCCTTTTTTTTGTTACAAAGGATAACTCTACGGAAAAATGGCCAAGATTTTCGTGGTGCTTAACGTGTTAAGGCAGGTGTCTACCGATGAACCTTTATTGATGAGTTCACTAGTAGATTTCCGACGAAACACTCTCCCCCTCTTTTCTTCTTTTCTAATATTTTCGAACATCTTCCTCCTTTCCATAACATTACAGTCATTAGTAATTCAAAGTCATTAGTAATGATGGGAATTATATTGTTAAGCAAATATTAATGAAAATGTACATTAGTTTTCGGTAAACCTAATAACAATAATTTGCTATTTGTTAATACAGTTACACGTAACTAATGAAAATTATAAACAAAACGTCAGTTCATTTCAGAATTTTATATACACTAGTATTTAACCTGCGACCTCTGTTAATCGGGTCACTATTTTCCGCGATATTAATCGTCCAGAATTCCACTTAAAATTCCACTTTTGGACGCTTAATACTAAAATTACCAGACGGGTCAAAATGACTCATTCTTAAGTTAATCTTTTTGTAATTATTAAAAACATAACAGACGTTTCTTTGAGGAATTGTTAAAGAAATTGATTCAGTAACATGAGAACTGAATTGTAAATCAATTAAAATCTAAATAAATGCATTCTTGGAGTTTATATTAAGAAATTACAAAAAGTCAATTTAACTGTTCGGTAATTTTAGTGTTAAACATCTTAGAATATAGAGAATCAATTTTACAAACATGTTCCGAAATATGTCTTCTCGAGTCTCTGTTTATTTAGATTGTTGGTTGCCTAGTTAAATAATTCACTCTCATTTTGAATTTTTTGGAAATCTCGACTGCTTGCGATACTTCTCGTGTGTAATTTGCGGTCAAAATACTAAGACATTCGCGATCACTGAATTGCATTCACATCTTTTCAAATTCTATTCTTGGTTGTCGCTGCCGTAAATTCATCTTTTTGCAAGTACTTCATGTTATTAATTCCAAACAACAAATCATTACAAGAATAATACTTCAAAACAAATTTTCTAATTTGTATCCCTGATCTAACGACAGAGATTTGTGGCAATTACCTAAACACTAGAACTACTAAGCGTTTAATATAATTAATATGTAATCCTTACAAAAATTGTAGCAATAGATTTTTTTCGGTTTCTTTATATATCCAGTGTAGCATTCAAGTGAAACTATTTATTTTGAAAATCATTTGGGATGTTTAACACTTTCAAGATATCAGTAATTGTGAAAGAAGAAAACTGAAACTCGTCATTTTGATCGGTGCGGTAGTTCCAATGTTAACACTTAGCCAACCGAATGGGATCTCCCACTTTTCACTTAGCAACGTATTATCTTTTTTTCTATTTATCTCTTCTTTTGTTGTTTAGTAAGCCTTGAAGTGGGATTATTTTCAATTCATCAAATACGGTTCTGGTTTGTACAATACAAAGTTTTTAACCAAATTAATTGAATGAGTTCAGTTGAATGAGTTTATTCAAACGAAAGCGACGCGATGGAAGTACAGTTGTTTGAGAAAAGAAGGTATTTTTATTTAAAAGATGAATAATAGACAGAAAACCGAAAGAGACATATTTTATTGTTAAGCGTGTGTCTCGTACGCGTATCGTACGTTCGTAGTTCGCGATACTATCATCGCGATACGTGTAATCATCATGTGAAAGCGGCCTAATACTCAGCTGACCAGAAACACCGACGTGTCAGATAGACACTGGAGCAATCATTGATTAGTAGATATGAGAGTTTTCATTATTAGATTGCGTGTCTCCCCATAAATTGAAATTATTAAGAGTATGGCTAGAAAAATGGACTTACAACAGGGAATGGTTTTTGATAACACTGGAACTATCACATTCGTCAAAATGATGGGTTTTAGTTTTCTTTTTTCGCAATTACTGGCATCTCAGGAATGTTAATTATCCGAAGTGAATTTAGAAATACATGGTTCTACGTGAATGCTATAATGAATGCATGAAGAAATCGAAAAAATCAGTTACTACAATTTTTGTAGGGAGTACATATTAATCATGTTAAACGTTCGGTGTTTTTATTGTTAACAAATATAGACAACGCTATACTTTGGATTTTATATGTGCTTAGTATTGTCCGCGTTTTGTACTGTTTGGCAGTTTCGAATTTCGCATAAATATTGTACATAAGTATTCACGGTTTGTTCATTATGTATACTTTGAGCTTAATTTCTCCATAGAAGATATTATTAAACAATAAATATAATGTAGAAAAGTGTATAAATATTTTGTGAATATAACTTTTATTTATTGGATATAATTGAATTGATAGAAAATAATTCATTACCAATTTGACCAGAATTAAGCAGATTATTTGTTCTTTGAGAGGACCTAGGAATTTAATACTTAATCAAAACTTAGGTGTTCTGTGAGAGGTGAAAAACTAATTATTATACAATATATAAACCACAGTGTTTTTTTTATTATCGTGGTTTTTGTTCATCAGTTCAAGTTGATTTTTTTTAATTTATAAATGAGTTTACAAGTTCTTTTTAGTTTATTTTCTTTATCAATTTTAGATGAGTTACACGATTAGCTAATATATTCATATTAACACGTTTGTATATTTATACTATAAAAATGACTAAAAATATACAGTTAATTAATGATTAAATAATTGTTTATTAAAACGTGAATTCATATTACTTCAACTCATATGCAAATTGTCAACTAACACTAAAATTGACGTGCTTGGTAACGCAAATATAGAACGACAACTACCTTTTCCTCAATTTGTTCTTTCATCGTTACATTAAGTAGAGAATAATGATCACATTATCGCGTACAAATTTTGTCATCAGTGTGAACATAGCTTTATATTTCGGATGATATTATCTAGTGGAATGAGATTGGCAAAATTGTCAGACGTCATTCGTTTAATGCATAGCCTACTGTGATTTTCAGGATATTACCAAATTATCAGACGTAAAGTTAAATTCAGTTTCATTGATTATTATCCAAGAATATTACGTCTGCTTAATGGATAAGATACCTGTCTGAATAATGTGTTACACGTGTAACATATTATAACTTGTAGTATAATTTCATTATTGCGTTATCATTTTCCTTTTTTGATACATGCGACTATCACATTACAAAGATGTCTACAACAGTTTATTTAATTTTGTATATATATAATAAAATTATATATATATAAATAAATATATATATATATAAAATAATAATATATATAAAATAAATATATATATATTTATATATAAATGATATTTACAGCACTTATCAATGTTGACTGTAATTATTTTATTTAAAGAATAAAGTTGCTAATAATATGATGTGGTATCATTTAGCAATATGTATATGTTTGTTTTATAAAAGTAATATATACTATACATAAATACAACGAATAAAATATAAACGAGTAACTTTATTTTTATAAAAATTGTAATATTTTAATATCATACTTTTCTATCTCATAAAATAGATCACAAAGTTGTTTTTGTGTAGCAAATGTTTAAAGCTTTCACGGTGTTAAATTGTTGGTTAATGTGGTCGAACTGTTTGTAGTTTTTGTAATTTGCAAAGTTCTATATTTTTTTTAATCTCCATTCTTATTGCTTGTATCATTTTTATGATATTTGATTTGTTATTGAAATAAATTTTCCACTGAGTATTATTACTGTCAGCTATATTGTTACATCGTTATATCCACAATGCGAATGTATCGAAAAGAAGATTCATATCAATGTGTTAAGAACTTGATTATTTTCAATATCTTACTACTCTTGTCAGTAACAGTTTTCCATATGTAAAGATAGAATCGTTCGCTGATACATGATTTCTATATAATTTTACAATCCTCTACAATGTAATGATATACAAATCAAAGAAAGAACAAGAAAGAATTTTGTAACTCTCTAGATCAGAAGACCTTCACACTTTAACTGCCAAGTAAACACTCATCAAAACTCCTGTAAAATCGATACAGTTTCCTTAATACATCAGAAGCTTAAAAGTTAAAATTCTTCATATCGATTGCTCTACTATCTTTCTTATATCTCACACACTTAACAATATTCGATTTGTTCGATACGTTACCAAGAAAATCAATGTTCAAGTTTATGTTAAAAGTGGTGTCACCTAAATTCGAATGATGTGGCTGCCAAAGAGTTAAAATGTTAAGAGTTTAAACTGATCCTCTGCTCATTTATAGTACTTCAACCAATTGTACAACAAAATCCATAGCGACAATTTTCTCTTCTTGAAACTATAATGAAGGGATACAGACGCCAGTAGTAAAGCATATCAATGACGAGTAGTTCGTATGCTACTAAATGGCATGCTGCGTCAAATGTATACATTTGCTAGAGACATAACATGTTTGTGTTTACTACTCGTACGCTGTAGGAAATCAAACGTGTTAAGATTTGCTTTGTTTGATACTGTTCTCTACCCTCGCCTCATATCACATGTCATTAACACGTCAAAAATCAAATGCCATGCGATTTCCTCACATTTTATGTATAAATATTGTTGTAAAATGTTCGAGTCTTCCAGGCTTCAACGCTTAATCTAAAAGGCTAAGTCTTGAAGCCTGGGAGTTCAATAAAGCTTAAGTCTTCGATGCTTCAAGGCTTCACCTTAAAGGCTAAGTCTTGAAGGCTTGGAATTCAATAAGCGCTGAGTTTGAGAATTCAATCAGAATGTCTGAATCTTCGAAACTTCAAGACTCAGTTTGCAACGCAACAGTTTAAAAAGCTTTGAAAGCCCAAACTGAGCCTTGAGAATCTTCAGCACTAGAGTTTTTATTCCTGAAAGCAGTCAAAGACTCAAGCCGTCTGTTGCCATATTAACACAGCATTGGAAATTCCAAACTTAAAGTTCAATCTTCAAAACATTTCAAATTTCTTAGACTTAATGTAGGAACAGATAGCTCAAAGACTCTAAGAACTCAAAGACGATTAAAGACTCCAGCGTTGAAGACATCAGCTTTCAGAACTGAAGGCTTGAGTTTTAAGCGTTCCAGCTCTAAAGGTTCAAGTCGTGGCTGCAGCTTCTAAAGTTCGGGGCTCAAAGTTCATGGTTACAACACTATGCATAAACGTGCTAGTAGATGTCACTTGCTAGCTCCTGGCACGCTTTTATGCGAGTTATTAGCATGTGTATCCGTCATATCTTAGCGGCGAATGACTGCGATTCGGGGCTTGCGTTCCCGCGAAAATGGAGGACTCGGCCAAGAAAACCGCGATGGCGCCGACGACGGTCGACGCACGTTACAATCGCGCTCGCGTGCGACGATGCACCGTCACGGAACAATGGCAACAATGTTCCACGGAAAAGAACAGCGTTCGGTGGGATCTTATCTAGCCGCGCGGCTTATAGCGCAAGCAGATTAAACCGCCGATGCTTGTACCGTTAGACTTTCGAGATAAATTGGCTCGATCCGAGAGCAATTCCCTTAATCTCGTTACGTAAATATCTTGGCCGGTCCTCCAGTCGCGCGTTGTCCGCATTACGTTTCAGTACTACATCGCATGAACCTGCAGTAACGCTACTTCCTCTTCGATTTTAATGATGTTTGAATTATGCTTTAGAAATCAACGTTTCGAACAACTGTCTTCCTGGCGAGTAATCAGCGGTCGGGATTAATTCCCGAGATATTTCATTAGAAACTGCAGGTGCTTGTACCGAATCCTATCTATATGTACATAATTATATGACACAGGCACGAGCTAGCAAGTTTATCCTTCCGTTCGTTGCTTGACGATTTGTTTATATTCATTAGTTATTGAATTCTATAATCGAATATGATTTATGGTTATCTATCATAGTCGTAATATTTTGCCAGATATAGAAGTAGTACAATACACATTATAATGTGTATTGTGTTTGAAGGGGTTAAACTACTAAATACTGTGTCCACAAAAACTGAATTATACATCGAAGACTTAATCCTCAGACTATCGAACCTTTTGTTGTTTCACTTTGGAACATAATTAAATTAAGATGACTAATTAAATACTATAACTAAATATAATTAAATAACCAGACGTAAATTGTAACAGAACTCTTCAATGTTTTGTGAAATATACCTCAAATTACTATTTGTATGAAAAATTATGCTAACCGAGAGGTTTGTTTAGCCAACCGAAATTCTGAATTACGCTGTGAGATGTATTATTTTGTTGGTAGATTAAAGGTTAAATAGTAGAGAATAATTAAATTACTCATTAGCAGCTTTTGAATTTAGATATTGAAACTCGAAGTCGCCATTACGACGACATTTGACTGCAAAGGGTTAATTTATATTTGAAAAAAATTCATAACACTAAGATTTGTAATATTCAGATAATAATTTTTGTCACAAGTGTGATACGATATTACAAGTCAAAGAGTTCAACCCTTTCGTCCCGAATAGTACACATATCTACAACGAACATTTTCAATTACCGGAAAGCTGGAAAATGCCTGGATAAAGGGAAATTGTACCACAGGGATCTTAGCTTACGTCTGACACCTTAACTGCTAGTCCCTCGTCAGTTCATGTGTTTTAGTTGATTAATACGCAACCGTATTTTTTTCACAAAATTCGTACTAAAAAATAATACATATTCAGGGACGAACGGGTTAATTTTCTTTATGCAAGATACAAAATGTTGAATATCATTAAGGGGATCGAACTTAATTTGTATTAAACCAGTTACATACGTGTATTATTTATGTGTTTATCATTTTTATTCGATAATTGAGTGGTAAGAAAACATGGCATTAGATTCTAATTACTCACTACTTACTTAGATAAAAGAAAACTTTTTTATAAATGAGCGACAAGTAGTTTTTAACAAAATTCATATTAACTCGTTCGCTACCAGCCGTCCTATATATGCGACACATCGGTTTGTTATCAGAGCCCGTCGTCATACGTGTACCCATAATTATGAAATTTTTTGTTTTAATTTAGTTTAAAATAATGCGATATAAAATAACTGATAAACTAATTTTTTCTAAATTTCTAGTTAGACCACTTTCATAATTATGGACAGATATATGTGACAGACGTTTTTGGTTAATTTATAGAAACACGTTGAAACGCATTGTATCGCAATTGGTGTCGTATAATTCCGAAAAAAATTCTGGGCGGTGGTGGACGTTTTTCTCAGGATACCCTGTAGCGAACGAGTTAAAGAAAAAATGCACATTCAGGGACGAAAGAGGTCAAATTCGTAGAAATCAGAGGCGTTCCTGCGACTTCATTGCACTGTTCTCCGAAGGGATTGCCTCTGCCCTGAGTTCTTCGGGCCGATCCGTGTCCCGTAGCCAGATTCCCATCCCGTGATTTTCGGGGCTTTCTTACCTTTCACAGGCCACCGTGATAATTCATACGATGCGAATATGACGTGGACCGTGTTATTGGCAGGCGAAAAGGGTTTCACTCGGGGTCGGCGGTGCCATGGTGGAGCTGCCGCAGGATCCGAAACGGGGTAGCTGGGCCAACCCTATTGAGTTTGTTCTATCCTGCATCGGGTATGCTGTTGGCATCGGGAATGTTTGGCGTTTCCCTTACCTTGTATATCGTAATGGCGGCGGTACGTATGTGTTCACGGGCCTGCAGTCGGCGTGTATGTACTTACACGACGCGGTGTGTACATACATCCGCGTAAACGGGGCCCACGAGAAAAAAACGTCCGGTCGAGTTCGCTAAACATACAGTAACGGGCCGGCAAACGAACTACCGGATTACGCGGAATGATTTATTCCCGTCCGTTGCGCGGGGCTGGGGGCGATGGGGTGTTTTCATGAGAACAGATGGAAAAAAAAGAGGACCGAGTCGGGCAGCCGGAACGGGAAGGAGCGACGGAGAACGGGCACAACGTACGCGAGCGCACGTGAAACCGCGTGCACGGCCGACGTGACGAAATGGTTAATTCGAATAATTAAGCGTAGTTTGGCAGCTTGTGACCAAGCGCGTTCGGGAAATTTAATAAATCTTTCCTGGCCCGCGCGTGCGGTTATGCCTGTTGATACGGCCGGCCCGTCCGGCTGGGTTTATTTGCGAAATGTCGAAAGGGTGGCCAGTGCTCTGAACACTTGGCTTTTAATTATTCTATTTTGTTTCGTACGTTGCCCGTTTTATTTTTCTTTTGTCTTTTGTCTTTATTCGTTTACGCAATGCTCTATTGTTTCGCTGGATGGTCGGTAATGAAAGATTGAGGATGGGAGAGCGATGTTTTAACTTTCTCATCTGCGGTCTATGTGTCATTGCGTTAATCAGACAAAGATTTTGATAAATTTCAATTAATCCGCGTTAGAAGTGCGAAATGCTAAACGAATTTACTTTGCGCCAGTAAATGTATGTATATATTGCGCCTGGATGTCCGTTAACTCTTGAGTGCTGAATACTCCCAACAGAAACGTTTTGTGTGGAGGGAATATTTTTTTGCTCATTTGAAGATCGACGAATTATGTTGATTTATGCAATTAAGTATGTTGTAATTAAATTGTAATTGTAATTCCTCAGTCTCGTCAAATTAAATGACGTTATGAAACGTGTATATTAATCACGTATACTTATAATTGTCACCACGACATATGCGAGATTGAAAAGATCGATAAACGGATGTATGCGCCTATAATTCACAGCGATGAATTTTGCATATATATTATATGCGTCCATAGCACTCAAAGGGTTTAAAGCATGTTCATCGAAGTCAAGAGTACTCTCCTGTCTTTTCAGGGTTTTAGTTTTATTTTGGTATTTGGGGTATTTAATATTAATTTAAAGGATATACGGCAATGACACTTAATATGGAACATCTGATTTCAAAAGCTTTCTGAAACGAGAGATATGCAATTTTTTCAATATATATTCGTACACTGATCGATAACAGTGCAAAAATTGAAATGCCTTCTGATCTGAAAGAATAGATTCTAATATGGAACACTTATATGATTTGTAAATGAAACTTATTTTTATCACGAGAAATTAATATTTATGGAATTAAAAAGGATAAATAAACGAATTTTCCACTTTTTTAACTTATATTCATTTTTTTTTATACTTTGGATGTATGAATAACATTTCGGAACCACTGCATTGGAAATACTTTGTTTTATTATTATCATTTGTGTAATTGCCATCATAAAATAAAAATATAACATAATAATATGTAACATTAACAAAGAAGGCGCAGCCAATATGGGATATATTTCATATTCAAAATCCACGTAAACTGATAGAAAAATAATAACTATTCTAAAAAGAAAATAAATTTGCAGCAAATTGCTTTTGAATAGTGATAAACAAATGTGTTCAATGATAAATCATGAGAAAATAAAATTCGTTAGTCTTTCTGCATTAAGAAATTTGACTGTTTAACTCGTATTTCAGAAAATTGAACTTATTGCCAAATACAATAATGCTTCGCATTCAATGACAAATTGTTAATTAATATTAAACTATTAATATGATTGTTTTCTATCACTAATGAAGTATTTTGCACGGTAACTGATGTATCAAGTTATTTATCTTCCGAAATATTGTGGTGTTCCACATTAGGAGCTGTTTTATATTAAGCGGCGTTATCCTAATAATTATTTAAGACGTCGGTAATCTTAAATGTAAATAACAGGAAGCCGCTGTAGATAACGTAGAAGTTTAATTGGCACTTGTATTGAGTCGATACTAGGAGCATTCGAAATTTTAGTTGATAAGAATAATCGGGTTTGGAATCTTATCAGTAAATTTTTTTCTCAACTGGTTAAAGAGAAACGAATGCTGAATGTTTTTTAAATTTTGATTGGTGTTTAAGAATAATAGATACGTACGATAGATTTAAAGAAGGGATTGACAACAGGAAAACAGAAACTACACATCATCTGAATAGCCTTAAATTACGTTATTGTTTTCTACAGTACAGCGTAGCATAGAATTGATACTGAATATTATTACAAGTGCAATATCAAAGTTTTGAGTTAATTATACAAATACCTTAACAGTCATTAAAATGCTACAGAAAAACCGATTATGAATAGATTGCCAATTTGTATGTAAATTTCAGGTTTTATACGTTATTTAATTAAAATCAGGGCGAAGAAACATTAATTTCATTGGTTAAGGGATTCTTTATTGTAAAAATAAAGTAGAAATGTTAAAGACGTTGGTCGATGCATACGTTATTTTATAGTTCATGAATTTACGAATAGCATAAATGGATAAATTTCTCGATTACAAAGTAAAAATTTGTTTGTCTGAAATAAACTACAACTTTCATAAACGTTTTCTAATTGACATTTACTTCTTGCAAAATAAATTCGTCGAAACATTTAAAACTACTGAAATTAACAGATATTTGTTCCTTTTTTCTCTTAGTTATTTTGTTTCACTTTTTTAAAAAATTTGTGATGCTTATATAATATATATATTAAAGTCGTATACAAATCAGTAATGACTTAACATTATGACTCATTTGTGCATGGACAACACTGACGTTACGTTCAAAGTATTCCATTTAAGTAAAAAATTGTTACACTAAGAATTTATTTTTTCGGCAACATATGCATAAAAATACATTGATAGAAATGTTTGTAGGCGCGAGAAAAAAATCATGATACTAAAGGTTAACACTAGAACTACCATACTTGTCAAAATGACGGGTTCCACTTTTCTTATTTCGCAACCATTGATATTTGAAAATTATTAAATATACAAAAGGATCTTAAAAATAAATGTTTGTAGAGGAATACTATAACAAACATTTGAAGGAACCAGGAAAAAATGTATTATTGTAATTTTGATAAGGATAACATGTAAATAAATGCTCGGTAGTTCTAGTGTTAATAAACCCGTGTTTATTTTATGCTTAACCTTTGTTTCTAGGCGCTTTCTTACTACCTTTCATTGCAATATTGATAGTAATGGGCTTGCCAATATTTTTTCTGGAACTTGCAATTGGACAGTATTCAGGTCTCGGTCCTACCGAAGCTTTCACACGCATGGCGCCGGCGTTTCAAGGTACGGGCTACTGCACCCTCGTCGTTATTTTGTGGGTGCTAGTCTATTACATGGTGATCGTGGCGTGGACTATCTTCTACATTTTCGCCTCGTTCATGCCGAAACTTAGCTGGGCCTACTGTGACAACGATTTCAATACGAACAGTAAGTACAACATACGTAGACAGATTGTTTCCATTTTTTTAAAATTATTTGATTTTCTTGAAGAATTGTAATTGTCTTGGATATATACTAAAACTGCAGAGTAAAAGTCGTGCTCATTGTTATCTGTAAAAATAATGGAAACGTTTAAAACTAAATAAATAGAAAAAATAATGAATACCTTTAATTAGGTATATATTGTATAATAAATAATTTTGAATTTTTATACTGTTAATCCATCGTTCTCGAAAGCTTTCTCTTCATATGTTCATAATTTTGCTATAAAATTGGAATGATAAAATTTTCGAGTGTATTAAATGAAAATAAATCACGAATCAAAGGATATAACTATGTCGAAGAAAAGAATATTTTGTTTGTATAAACAATATTTTTACTACACAACCCGTAGTAAAACAATGAACTCAAATCAAATCTTTCTAGAACATTTTTTTGCGAGCATTAACTTCACGTACATTTGGAATATTCTAGATACATTTAACACAACATCATTACTACGAGCTGATCATTAGTCAAATCGATTAACTCCACTTTTTGAATTGTTTAAGATTTTGTCGTTAAAACGCTTCATTGGCTTCTGATTTTTCACATTTAGATAAATTTTCTTCGATATCACGAAATAACAAAAATTCTATTATCAACGCAAAACTTGCAGTAATAAAAAAAATTACTTCAAAGTTACACTATTTTATACGTTTTACATATTCTTTAGATGAAAGGAACACCTGTAATAATGAAGTAAAATACGTTCTATAATGATTATTTAATTTTCTATTTAAAGGAAAATTTAGAAAGTCAATGTGTAGTTATTGCATCACTTTTCTCTACTTTTTGTTTTGTGGAGTGCACCGATTTGGCTAATGAGTAGTTCATATAAAAATCAATATTAAAGAAAATCAATTTAATCTAGAATATTCCAATACTTTTAACATTTATTCAAAACACACACACACACACACACGCACAATCCCGTTAATCTATTGCACACATGTTCATTGTTCACCAATACATCAATATCTGCAGGTATTTTATTTCAATATTCCACCTCTGATTACATTATATCAATTTCGATACTGAATACAAAATTTTATAATTTTCCTACGTTAAATTACATGTCAATGGTGAGTCACCTCTCAACTGCAAAAGGTTAAAAGTCACGATTGATACTCAACCATTCACAATGAACGCAGAAATTATACTAATGAACAGCAACATGATCACACTTCTCCACATTTTTGACATAACGCGAGAGAAACGCGATTGCGTACTTCCACACTAAAACGGTTAGTAATGCCCAATAACGCGTGTCTCCTGTCCACTCGTCTGGTTATGTGAGGTAGCATTATATTACCGTATTATATACACGATTTATCGATAACCATACAATTCTAAGTGCTCGTGGAACTGTTTTACACGATTTAATCGTGGAGGGTCCTCCGAAATTTAATATGTTCGCTGCCAGCGCTTATTTCGGTGACTGTCTCCTCAATTAAAATATTCTCTTCAATCTAATGAATCTTCTAAACTAAATATTAGAAGAATGAAACTGAAACGAGTCATTGAGTTTCTAAATATAATATCATAGTTTTTAATTTTCAATAACAATATCTATTGGATTAATTTCATTTTCATTATGTAAAATATAGGATTACGGCCGTCGCAAATATATGACACTGGTAGCAAACGTGTTAATTTCTCTACTCATAGAACAAACAAGTACAGCATGAAGAATATACAGGGTGTCATGTGACTGGTGATAGAATGGGATAGAGGCTGATTCTATGTAAGAAAATAAGTCGAAAATATAGAATGAAATTTTGTCACATGTGGCTTTGTTTTCGAGAAAATCCAGTTTGAATATGTTTCGTTATTTTTTTACTATATATTTTAAGTTGTGTCAACCTTATTGGGTCATTGGAAGCTACTTTAACACGTTGACTGATCGCGCGATTTCATAGAGGAAAATATACAGAATAGAAAAAATATGATATTAAATCATTTGATTGAATTACATTATTATTATTGTACGTTCGTCTAACTGAATGTCACCACATTAGGTTGGATTATTTATAATATAGAACTATTTTCAAGTAATCATCGAATCGAATGAACTATAGTGATTGGATTTGGTTGGGTATCACTGGAAATCCCCATGGCATTCAACGTGTTAAATTATGCAGATGATTAATTATGTATATGATTGCATTGTGTATTCCATAGTTGTGTATGGCTGGTTAAATTAAGTGTACTATTTTGATTTCTGTTAGAAACTTCAAAGTATTAGAGCATAAGTGAACTATTCGGGTTACTTCTTTAGAGTTTTCTTTTACTTGATAGTTTCTTCTTTCCCTTTGGTATTTAATACACGATATGATTATGTGTTCAATTGAGTTCGCTATGTTGTATCGGTTGCACATTGTGGTTTGTTTTCGATTTTAATAAGGTAGGAGTGTGAGAGGTTCGTGTGTATAATCTTTAATTTTGTTAATATTAGTTGACGTCTTCTTTTGAACAAAAAGGCTGAGTTTAATTCATAAATACTATTTCTGGTGTTATGGTTATATGCGTTAGTAGATCTCACTGTAGATCGTTGTCTCGCTTGAAGTTTCTGTTGATAAAGACTACCAACGTCATGAAAATGCTTACTGTACTTGAGAGGTAGAAATATGAAATGAAGCAGGATGTTAAAGTAACCATAAACTTTATTATTACAGAAATTGCTGAAAATGATGCCCATTCTATCGAATAGATAATTCTGTCATTCTAATTAAATTTTTGTGAACGTTTTCTAAAGCTTTCTGTTGTTTTAATGTATGAAACGCTATAATAAGTAGAGTGTGCGCCGATTCTCCTTGTCCTATGCATTTCTAGCTTGTGGGTAGTCTGCCAATACTCGAAAAAATTATTGTAGAGTGTAATAGATAGACCACTAATTACATGACACCCTGTATCAGGTCATGTAATATGAAATGTCGGATTTTTTTTTAAAGAATGATTACAGCATAAATGTCATTGATATCTATCAAGAGAAAAAAGCATTTATAAAAGTAAATATAATCTAAAGTCTAATAAAAACAGTAGTTAAATAGACCTCTGTGGAAGATGCAGTATACTGCTAAAAACAATTAAAGACATAGATATTTGATAATCTAAATAAGATCAGACCATTTCACTCGGAATTACCCTATATATTAGGTCATGTAATATGAAATATCAGTTTGCGGAAAAAAGGAAACTTTATTTGATGTTCTAAAAGACGTTTATTCAGTGAAAATATGCTCTATTTGATTCGATACACTTTTACTAACATGTTTTTAAGGAATATATTCCTTTTTACACAAATTCTGAATAATTAGAATTAAAGTTCTAAAGACATCGTTATAAACTACTGTTTCCGGCTTGCCATATGGCTCATTTTGCAAGGAAACATCACTGAAACAAAATTTTGTTTTTTCATTCACAGAATGGTTTGTTTACATTTTGAGCGATTTTTGCAGCATTATTTCCAAATTTAAATCCATATAAGAAAATTACGCGAATGTTAGTGGTGTCCATGTTTTCAAAAAACAATACAAGAAATAGTTATTATGCACAATTCGGAAAAGCTTTTTTGTAAAAAGTTATTTTGATGATCAACGATGAAACTGTTTAAGAGGTTATATGAAAAACAAAGGATTAACAACGACAGGAGTACAAACATTTATGAACAAGAAAAATCCGACATTTCATGTTACACAATTTATTACGTGCCGGAAATGTTCCTGCGGGTTTCTTGTTAGTAATGAATTAAGGTCCGACTTCAATCAGTATTTAACTAGTTTAACGAATGGAACTGGTATTAGCAGCAAGTTATGTTTATGCCATTGGTACCAAATAAAATAAAATTATTTTACAAAAATGTTCTCTGTGTTTAAATTTTGATTTCAGAATCCGCATAAACTTTTTCCGGTGCCTAATAACATTAACACTATTTTCACAGAAGATGTCAAAAGGTATCTTTTGGAATGTTCACTTAGAATTATTTTTTTAGTTGTAATGGTTATTCGAAAAGTAGAAAACTCAATTCAGAATATACGACTAAACTTGGAAAATAATTTTAAGTGAAAATTTCAAAATTTATCTTTTTACATGTTCGGTAAAAATAGTGTTAACGATTTTTTACATTTATGATGCGTTTCAATCGCTGTACATCCTACAGATTTTATTTGAAAATCCGGTTCATGCTCGCGGGATACACTCGCGGGATATAAAACGGTAACTGTAACGGATTAAACTCTCCGATAAAAATTTTGTTATTCATTCACCAAATTCTAAAACCATGAAATATCGAACAATTTATTTAAATCATAAATTAATTCAATTGCTTACTCCATCTAACACTTCGTTGCTCTTGCCAGTTTATTCGATACAAGTGAATTGTTATTGAATTCTATATTCACAATTATTTCGACCGTTGTTCCATTCGCATACAGAAACATTGATTTACAGTCTTGCTCGCGTGAAGACACGTTCGTTGTCAGTGAATCGGTATATTAAAAAAATAATACTCGATACCTGTTGAAAGATCAATTAAATCAGAGTCAAGTTACTCCGACAAGCAACTTACACGTTTTAGATAAAGTTGAATCGTTGCTTTCGTAAAATGGTTGAAAATGTGCAGCCGTGGAAGAAGTTTGATAAAAGGTGTCGATAAAGTTGATGGAAGATCATCCATTAGAGCTCTGACGCTGTTAAGGCCCTTCGATTTCCAGCCCAAGTGAGTTCGAGTAGCACGGAATCAGATTTTTACATACTTTCCCGAGGAAAAAGTTCCAGAAGATACTATAATATCAGGAAAGTAAGGTTTCCAAGATTGTTGGCAATCATTGCTTTGAAGTAAGGTTTCCCCTGGTCGTTGGCAGAAGTTCAAGCAATCGGGGCAAACGAAATATTATTAGGCGAGCCATACGCCATGAATCTCTATTAAAGCGAGCAATAAAAATTTT